CGACGACGACTACTACTACTGCTCCTCCTGCTGCTGCTGCTGCTACTACTACTACTACTACTACTACTACTAGTACTGCTACTACTACGACGACGACGACGACTACGACGACGACGACTACTGCTACTACGACGACTACGGCTACGACTACGACTACTACGACGACGACGACTACTACTATTACTGCTGCTGCTGCTGCTACTACTACTACTAATGCTACTACTACCGCCACTACCACTACCGTGACGAAGAAGGTACCATTACCACCTCAGTTGCCTCTGCGGCTGGCCCTGCCACTTCCCGGCTTCCGCTACCGCTACCTCTGCCAAGAAACGACTACTACTACCCTAACCAACCACTGCCACTACAACGACCGCGGTCACGACCCGACCACTACATCATTATCACTACTACGACCAGTACTAGTATGAGTAGTAGTATTGGCATCACTACTACTTCTACTTCTACTACAACAACTACTACTACTACTACTACTGCTACTGCTACTGCTACTGCTACTGCTACTGCTACTACTACTACTACCACCACTACTTCCACTACTACTGCTACTACTACGACGACGACTACTACTACTACTACTCCTGCTGCTGCTGCTGCTGCTGGTGCTACTGCTACTGCTACTGCTACTGCTACTGCTACTGCTACTGCTCCTGCTGCTGCCGCTACCATATTCATGCCGAGAGCACGTAGGACCATTGTCATGATAGTCCATGTCATAGCGAAGGTCGCTGAGTGATGCTGTGGTAGCGTTGACGATGGCTGTAGCAAAGCCGGTGGTGGTGCTTACGATGCCCAGATTTAGTGCTGTGATGTGGAGGATCAGGTCGATGAAGTTTTCTCGCGGCAGTTACATTGCCATTGCCACGAGACTGTCAGTTCCGGGGTCATGGTCTTCGTGATTACCGTTGCTGTTCGTAGTCTTTTGTTGCGTGCACTTCCAACAGCCTCCCCAGGCTCGGGATGCATGGCCCTGGTTGAAGCGGCTCCCTTCGGTGGCAGATGCGATCCTTTCCTGAAAACGCGCGGCCCTTCCATCCCCTGACCCCGATTGGGTTACGATTGCTTTGATAGCTGCTGCTGCTAGGTTGTTTTGGCTTGCAACAGTCTGCCCATGTATAGCTACTAGAGCAAGACCTAGCCGGTGAACATCCACTAAGGACAAGTATTGCGAAAGCTTCGGCCATGTTTGTTACCAAGCGGCCGAAGAGGTCAATGAAAACTGCTACTTGGTTGCAGTTGTAGCTGTTTGTAGCTTCGACTTTCGGAAACACTGACGGCAAACAGCCTGCGTCTCGATCACAGGTGCCGTCAAGTTCACTTCCAGACTCCTGGTTGCATTCGGCAGCTGTAGTGCTGCATGCTGTTGCAAGCAAAAAAATACTTTATTCGTTCCCGGAGCCACAACGCACTCTGACTTGCCTCGGTGGGGTGCCAGGATGCGATGAGGCCATCACTGGTACCAGCGATATGCTTTGCACTTGCCGCCATCCACAGTCCGTGCCCTGCCCGCAGAGATAGAAAAATAATAAGAACCACACCCAAAAATTGAAACAGCAATAGCAGCAGTGGTGCTTGTACCGATGCCCGCATCCTCCTTTGTCGCCTTGCCTGCAAAGACTGTTTGCAATTTGTCGCTTCCAGCGGGATATAGAAGCTGTGTGGCCTGGGGCAGACCCTAGGACCTCACAGCAACCGGACAGTAAGCAGTATAGACGTACCAAGAACCTCGTCTGGCAGAGTCCGACTAGAACATCCTCCGTGCTTGAATCTCTCCAGCTACATAAAAAAAACACACCCTATCCTATCCCCTACGCCCTTCGCGCCGCCGAAGCTCCAAAAGACACCGCCCAGATGGACGAACCCAAGTGCGATTGGCCGGGGCCAGAGCCGCTCCCTCCCACGCCGAGCCCCGATGCGTGCTGCCGAAATCCGAGCCGATGGCCTGACGCGGCTTCCCTAAAATAGTATACAGTAGTATATTACTAGTTGTTTTTCCTGTATTACGGCTTCATTTTCTGTTGCTTTGTTGGGGGGGGGTTCCTCCTTGTTGCATCTTGAGGCTGTTTGGGGGTTAGGGACTCGGGCAGGTAGGGTTGTAGGGGTGTCGGTGACTTTTGGTCTGTAGTGGTTTGCGTATCAAAGAGATCACAGGAGTTGCAACCAGGCACGGGCAAGGGCCTGTACTCATAAAGGGTGTGCTACTGGTTATTGCCAATGTGCTGCTGGCAGGCCTATGGTGAAACCCAGCTTCCATGGCGTGACGTCGGGATGTGTCTATCATTTCGATGCAGGGTACGCAAGTCTTTCCTGCAGCGTCTCAAGCTAGCACCTAGGGCGACTCTTCAGATAAGAAAATCGCATGAAGGTGTATTGTGGGCCGGGTGCGGCTGCGAGAGTCCAGACGCGGACCGTAAGTGTTGATGGGCAGCGCTGGGTTGAATTGAAAGAGTTGCACGGAGGCGAACTAGACTTACTTGGGAGCCGTGTTTCGCTTTCAAGTCAAAGTGTGTTGAGGCTTCCGGGTTTGAGCTGATGCAGCAGTCAAGTTTTCTTCCTCCGGCGGAGGGCTTTGTGGCATGAGCCCGCGGCAGACCTCTATGCTTAGGGCTGAGTAGGCGGTTGCTGCACTAGGTTTCGAGGTTCAACCTGGGAAGAAATACCTGCTCAGGTGGACAATGGCGTCACATGTGACGATTGCATGGCCCTCGTGGTGACCGCCCCGTACGGTAATCGTTGCGACAAGTACTGTGAAAGTTTCGACCACGTGTGTGTGGCCGCGGCGGAGGAGCAGAACGAGAACTGTGAGATACAGTACACTAAGCGCTGCGATGAGCCCATCGAAGGCACCTCGGACATGTTGTGCAAATGTGTGAAGAAGAACGCCCCGCCGTTTTGCCCGGCTCCTCCGGCACCGCCTGCACCAACGCCCGAGCCCACGCCCTCTCCTAATGCGAGAATTCAGGTGGTTGGAACCGCAGCTGAAATAGCAACCATGTCTTACTGTAGTTGGTTGCCGCCCTGCGTGCATCGTAGCCGCCCAAGCCCTAGACCTCCCTTGACTGCGAACAAATCAGAATCATAGGATCATAGGACCTATCTGACCAAGGAAAGCAGTTGCTCGTCGACGGCAAGCCGCTGCACCTCAAGGGCGTAGCCTGGAATCCCGTTCCCAAGGGAGGCCGGCACCCTCAGGACCTGGACTTTGCTCGCTTCGTGGAGGAGGCCTCTCTGTAACATTTTATATTTCTTCATTCGTCAAGGGAACTTCGAAGAAGGAACAACTCTGTTGACATAGAAAGTACATGTTCCTCGCATGTTTCAAGATTTTTTCCAGGCATTCAGGGTTGATCATGTTCACCATGGTCTCTCCGTGGGGTGACCGCATCATGTCGATGATAACGATGCATCTTTCGTCCAGTACAGTTTGTGTTTGCTCTCTGGGTAGGTATACATACACACACATATATATATATATAGACATATGCTTGTTTGCAAGCCTTCGGTTTTTCCGCATGTACACATGTGTAGTACATGTGTTCCGGCTTATTGACATAGAACTGGTTCAAAAGATCTGTACCTGCTCACGTGTGCAGGATGCTCAAATTATGCAGAGCATGGGTATCAATGCTGCACCTCGGGCCAACATTGGTCCCGGTCTGAGGGTGTAGTGTACGGGCATGCCTGGTTGCTTGCGGATAGCATGATGTATCATAGAATATGCAGGCATGTTCTGTTGATGCAAGGCCAGCTCAGGTAGGTCTGTAGAGCATCAAGTTCCAAGAAATGTGATCTATGCATCACGAGTACCAGGTCCGCACATACGAGCCCATCACCGAGAAATGGATCCTGGACACGCTTTGGCGTCGAGGCCTGCCAAGAGAGACACGAAGAGTAACTATCCGAAGAGCCGGAGTTTGATAAGTCTGTCCAACACCGCATCGAAAGCTCCGTCTTCGTACATGATATAGGCCGTTTAGGCTAGAGCCTGTATCCCTTCAGGCATTTGGGTTGTGAACAGCGTCTACAACTGGGGCGGTGCCTCGGCGAGAGATGCAGCAAATCCCGTGAAGGCCGTCAAGGCCTGCGACATGCATGCTCTGGTTCTGAAGTGCCATGTTGGATGTGATGCATCCTGACATGCAGACACACATGTAGCACATTCACGAGCACGGATAGGTGGGTAGGCACGGTATAATGAGAGATAAGATTGAAAGCAGTGTATCTGTGACATGTAAATCCCTGCTTGCATGTATGCTGCTGAGTCTATGCAGTTTTAGATTCTGCACACAAGCCCAGCCAGCCGAGTCTCGGTCACATGCACGTGCGGACATAGCACATCAAACCGCAGTTGCACGTACATACTGACTATGTTACAGACATACATACATACGCATTGACTACTTACTGTACACGCTCAGACGTACTCGCAAGTTCCTGTGTTTGCATGAATGTCTGCATGTGGGCGGCATCTCGCAGAGCATGCACACAGACGTGCACATCTGGTGGTTTAGCAGACGCAGACCCCGAACCCGACGACAGGATCACCCTGCTATCCTGATGTGGTCCATCGGACACCCGGCGGCACAGGGGGTATGGGCCGAACTCACGAGCTATTTTTCCGAAGTCGCTTTGGCAGAAATACAGGTGCTTCGAACAACTAAACCCACAGAATCTGGCCCGAGTCATCCCGGCTTGTGCTTGCCTCAGTCGGTCGTATGAAGTCGACGATGTTGTGCTACATTGTCGCTTGGCTTCTAGATTAACTATATATTCCGGCACATGATTTCTTGATTGTGGTACTCGTTGCGCAGAGAAGACACCACGCTCTTCTACATGATGTTGTCCTGCGTATGTTAGGCTGCATTACGCCATTATGCTGCATTCCGAGCTTCGTCGAAGCTTTCTAGAGTTTACTGCTTGATGCTACAAGCTTTGATACGAAGTGAGCCAGTGCCCACGATTACTGTCTATGCTTGAAGAGACGCACACACACGCACACGCAAGCTATGCGCAGAGGAAATGAATGGAACTACAACGGTCTCTACGTGGGAAGCAGCTTCTTCGACTGCATTGCCAAAATCCGGGATGTGGTCAAGGTGGTGAGGGAGCTCCTTGGTCACAGAGCCCGCCTTAGGGTTTTAGGGCCAATGGGGGTTAAAGACTGAGGTCTCGGCTGTCCCGGGGGAAGCCTGCTGCATAAATGGAGGATTTGGGGGGTTTGGAGTTTTAGGGGGACCGGCACCGGCCTTTGACGACTTCTGGATGCCCCTAAGCATCAGCTACTAGTGCTCAGACTGGGTGTGATGCTTTCGAGGCTTTGTGTGCTTCTCTCCAGACCCCCGTGTGCTTCTTCTTGTTACATTTCTTGCCTTCGGAATTCATGCGACATGAGTCACATGAGACCTTTGACTACGCGAAGCACAGGTTCGACACGAGCCACCCCATTTCCTCGATCTATGGAGACACCGGGAAGCTGGATCAGGCAGCTCAGGCGCTTCCAGAGATTGATGTCTGGGGCATCAATTCATACCGAGGCATCAGCTACCCGTCTAGCTTTAGAGCTCTTCAAAGGGCCAGAAAGCCTGCAGAGTCCGAGCTGCGAGAGTATTAAAAGGCTTACACTGAGGCCTAAAACCCTAAACCGAACTTTTTGTATTTAATTTATCATGGCAGACTAAGCGGCCGAAGTTTTGGAAAGTCCGGCTGAGGTTTCGGCGGCCTCTTCGATGAGTTTGCCAGAATTACCGACAAGCCCATGTATTTGGGACGCCTGTTTGCACCAGTCTGCTTCGAAAGACGTTTATTCCGGGGTTGAGCATCATTGTGTCTCAGAATCCAGAGGCACACCTTCTCGTTGCATACTACGCACGTTGCCATGAGTCTACATCCGGTTTTGCACACTGGGTCTCGAAAGTCTGGTCCCCAGAGATCGCTTATTGCCTAGTCCCTTGAGGTGAGTATGGTGCCGATGCCTACAACGCCAAGATCAACAGTGAGGACCGCGAGTCCCAGGCAAAGGCGACAAAAGAGCTGACGGCTTCTTGGCGCAGGATCGTCGTACCGGGCTTCAAACTTGGTGTCCTGGATTTGCGTGAAGATGTCTTGGCATACCGCCGAGCACATGGGGCGTGTGGCATCGCAGGGCATGGCGACTTTTGGAGGGAGAGTTGTTGCTTTCGGTATAGTCGGCGGTCAGCCCCTTTGCTTAGAGTTGTGGTCGCTGTTTGTGCGTGCTTGTGTGTGGTTGTTGTGGAGCCGGGGGTAGGGGTGTTGCCGTTGTTGGTGAGAAATGCTGCGCCTCGTGTCGGGCTTTGGCTCAGCCCACAAAGCCGACGGCCAGCAAGTATGAAGCTACGTTACATGCACAGACATCGTGTCTAGTACACCGTACGTGCTAGAAAGTACCACGCGTTTGGTGCCTGTCCTTGTAGCGTCTAGACTAGATGCTAGAAGCTAGATGTATGTGCATGTATGCATGACTGCACGCGCGATCAATTATCTCGAATGCCCGTGCGTGCATGCACACTGTGATGCATAGAGCCTCACGTGCAGATACCCACGCACCATCCGTAATATGAGATACATATATTTCAATATGTTTATGTGTGTGTGTGTGTTGTATTCTGTTATATGTGTAGTCATATCTAGATATGTCTGAATGCACGTCGTTCTGCATTTTGAGTTCGTATCGCACATATTTGTTGACTTGCTTGCGTTTTCCTTTACGTAGGGGAGGTTTGTTAAACGAGTCTGCGTATGCATGCCTGTAAGCATGTCCAAGATTGCAGCCACAAGCCCAGGAAGAAATCCTCAGCAAAAGCTCGGTCTCGAACCGCCGCTTGGACATGCCTTTTGGTTTGGCGGCCTGCGATCGCCTGGGTTTGTGCATACCTGGCTCAGCTTGCCAGGTCCGATTTCGGGGGCCTTTGAGAGCATGGAAGCTCCTTCAACCCCGAAGCCTCTTTGAGAGACCCTCAGAAATCGGAATCTCGGAAGCAGAGGTGGCTCCTGCATCGGCGGCTTTGTGTTCGAATTCAGCAGCTCGGAGATGGCATCAGAGTTGAAGGAGGGTAGGGGGGGGGGGGGGGGGG